TGGTAAGTTTTACTGGGCAGGCTGAGGTCGGTAAAATTAACCATTCGGCTTGGTTAATTTAACCCTGAGGGAAACCGACATTCGGATTGGATTTTTTTTTGGTCAATTTAGCCAGTGACTCGGTTAACTTGACCAAATTAAGTCCAGTGCGATAGGGGCTCTACTCTTATAAACTCATTATTAGGAGTACAGAGTTGACCTGTCATTAGACGAAACCCCTGGGTTTAACATAAGTGACCGGCTCTGGCAAAAAACAAGCCGTTTGTACGAAAAATTTAAAATTGAGTTGTTGGTGTTTTTAGATTCTGCATGAATTCTTTAAAACAGTGTTTATTTAATGGAAATTGGTTGAGCATTTATCAAAATTATACATATTTAATTCATTAAATATTAGCCATGTAGGTTTTAAGAAAACAATTTCCTAAGATTCCAAAATCAATAATTTATTATTAAGATTTGGATTTTTAAAATAATTCTAATGCACTTTTCAGTTAGATTTAGTTACTGATATTTTGCAGAAATGTTCTTCAATATATCTTCTTTTATAAAATGCAAAAAACTAAAGATGTACAAAAACTTCTAATTCTAGAACATTTTCGGTGTTTGTGGGAAATTAGAAATTGCGACAAATTGCGGGTTTTGCCATAGCCAGTCACATATTATTTGAACTAAAAATGCTTGCACTGAAAGGCAAGCACCTTATACATGCTACAACTTGCATTAAATTTTAGTAAAGGAACAAATCTCTCTTTTGAATGAATTGATTTGAATAATGTTTACCTGTTGTCAAATTAACTTATCTAGTATAAATGAAAAAAGTACACTACCCCTATTTTTTTCATTCTTGCTGGCTAAAAGGTGAGGGATTGACATGTATTTTAAGCTTGCTATAAGGATTGTAATGCTTGGCCAAAAGTAGGCTTTAACTTTCATCGATCAACAATTAAATAAATATCTTAATACCACAGCCCAGTTCATCTACAGCCTAAAAACTGCATTTAAGTGTGAGCAGATACTTGAATGATAGGGTCAAAGATTAAAGAGAAGTTACTCGCAAAGATATTGTCTGCTTGTTACCTAATATTTTAGGAGCATGATTATTTTTAAGTTACAAAGGTTTTAAATCATAAAGAAGACTTAGTTTACTAAAATGCATTATAAGGTGCTATATCTCAACAAATGTGTTTAATATCATGTGCTTTTGACTTCGGTTACAATCTACTGAACTACAACACCAATATTGACATGAAATCACCTTATAATTACCTGAAATACCTGCTATTAACATGTTCCTAGCTACTGTCAACCTCAACAAATTAAATAAATTGATTATCCAATATACCATTGAATGCATTATCCAGAAAGTACACAACATTTAAATTCATTTCACAATTTGAAGAATAATTTAAATAGTTTTTTTTAATATGTGGTCTTATTTTTTACAAAAATAATTTCATTTGTCAGTCATTCAGGAAATCATCCATTTATACATCCCAATAAAAGCTGGATTATCTAAGAAATCTGGCTCAGTTAGGTTCAATCTCATTCAGACTGGTCATCTCCATTTTTAAGGAGAGTCGTAACGCGAGTCTTCTATACCGAACATTACTGTTACATGCTTCAGTCAGCAATTAGTTGTTTCCGATACATATAAAGCATGTTATAAATAATCTTCACTGATTCCATGACTTTCAAGCTTCCTACTGCTTAGATGAGACTGAATTTGTCACTAAAACGTCACAGGCTTTGGCACTATGTTCTCAAAAAGTTGATGCACACATTTCAAAGTATATATGATACAAATTGAATAATTGTAATGTTTAATTCTTTGATATGACAGTGTCACATTTTTCATCTCAGGAAAAGCTGATTTAGGACCTATCTGTTTTCCCACTGTCTGGATCAATCTGGTTCAAACCAGATATCTATCAGCAAATCCAACTCATTCAGTACATACTTCATAACCATTTACCCAAATACTGTGAACCGCTGACTTACTAGTTTAATATGATCATAACACACTCGCCATTTCACTATTAAATTGCCTTTTTGGATATAGTTGATGGCAGGTGTCAAGAAAAACATTGTGTAAATATGCAGTCTTCTCAGCATTGTCACAGCCATTGTCACTGACTGTAAACTACCTTTTCTGTCATCTATGACACACATACTGATGCCTAACATCATAGCACATCCTCGATGCTTGTATGACATTGTCTCTGTACATTTCTGGGGTAATGCTATAAAAGGCTACTGCTCGGTCCACCTGAGTTGAACACAAATGGAGGCAAGGGACCATCTACCCACTGAAATACAAACAAGAAACTTTATATTACACAGCATTATAAATAAAAACTATTAATAGTCTACAAGCTAGAGAATTGTTGCTGTAGTTTGTGATGATGATTATGATGATGATGATGATACTGTTGATTATCTTGCTGATATTGATGATGACATCACATCCATTACAATGGTCTTACCTGTAACAAGTTATGCTCTGGTTGTTGTGATGACTGGTAATGGTCCTTTAATAACTGCTGCGAAAAGTCATTGTGCATTTGATAACTCTCTGCCTGTCGTATGGGGTCTCTCAGCATTTGATACAAGTCTTTAACAAGATAAAAACAATAAAGAGAATTGGTAAAGTTCATTAATACATTATTATTATTATTAATTTCAACCATTCTGCTAACAGAATATTTGGTGGTCATTGACGTAAATTAATTACGTTGACACTTAAGCAAACAAGACAGTAGAAATTATTGTTAATAGTGATATTAGGATATTAGTGTAGAGAAATAAATTTTTAAAAATCTTGCTTTCTTATTCAATAAGGATTTTACGGTATATGAACTGTTTATTATTTTTTAATTGCAGTATCACAATATCATTTTGGATATTCATTCACTTTCTAATCACATACCCCAGCATACTGTATATCACTAACTTTTTAGTATTCATGGCAACAAGGCACCATTCAATCTGATAATTGTAGAAGAGCCATTCACTATTAAATCATTCATCTTTCCATAAATAAGTTTTCTACTTTTAATGGAGCTTCCACTAAGCCCCGCCCAGTCGATGCTGTTGTGACGGTCCCAAAAAACGAGTGTAAACACATACACACACACATGAGATTGTAGGACAACATGTGTGTCTGTAGGACACATGCATATTCATGGTTCATGCATATTCATATTCATTAAGTGTGATTGACACTCCAGAAAAGCCCATTCAATGTAGCTGTCATGCAAAGATTAGCCTCATTCTGATTTGTATACATTCATGGTTAGAATACATTATAGGCCTACATGGGATAATTGTGCAATATCCAGTTTGAGGGAAACAGTAAAGTTGTCATGTGACCATCCTACCTCTCAATAATGCCGATGCCCAAAGCTGAACATGTAAATCTGGTATTTTACTTGCCAGTTGCATTGCAGGGGACACCATGTTCATGCTCTCCTGAAATACAAATTTGGTTAACACATTTTACTTTCATAAAGAGCTAGTCCTATAGAAATGATTAGGCATACATCAGCATACCCTTGTCAATAACATAATAGCAGATCATTATTAGTGCATCCATTATCAACATGGAAATCAACAAGATACATATCATGAATGTAATACTTCCATAAGCAAATAATTTTAACAAAAAATTATCAGCATTTTCATTCACCATCACTACCAACAACACAATATTAAAATCATCATTACCAACAAGAATACTACTACTGTCTTTATCAATATTACTCTCATCGTCAGTATAATATATATACAAGTCTCCATCCAAATAAAGATCACTTTTGGGACCGGGGTTTCGATGGTCTTTAGCAGCTTTGATCTCTAATTTGAATAACAAAAATAAAAGACATATGTTAACTTTGGACCACAGAAAAGTGGTCTTTAATTGGATGTGGTCCTTAATTGAAGGGGTCTTCATTTAGAGGGAGACCTGTATTATTATTTATAGAAGACAGACTTACAGTCGTGTTTCCCACTGAAAGGAATATGTGCCCCAACAAAACTAATGAACAAGCAGTTAACCGGTTGAGATCCTCTAGGTTAGTCATCTTCAACGTTTCCCTCAGGTATCGTCTGAAATAATCAAGATATAAAGTCAATAATAAATATCAACCCAAGACATTAAACTGGAGTGGAGTTGAATAGCTTGGTGGTTAAGAGCTTGCCTTCCAATCCAAGGGTCCTATCAAACAGGATTTTTTTCTCACGACCAAAACAACTCCACTCGCTACGCCTCATAATTTAGACTTAGAGTTTAAGTAGAGCATCTTGCTTATATGTTGTTTGTATTGTGAAAGGACTGCCACTTAGTAAAGTGAACAAGTTCGCTATTGCCATATCCTTGGCCCTGAGCCTAAATTAAATTTAAAATATTTTTGAGTTCTCACAAACATTAAATGCAATCACTGAAAGTAGACTTCTCAAAAACCTTGGGTCAAGCAAAGCAAAATCGTAACATACCAATAGACAATGACAAAAAAAAAATGACATACTTAGCTTCATTATATCTGGCCTGAAAGAATGCCTGCAGACCCCTGACATAGTAACCTGCTGCCCTGAGACTGTGTGATGCTATCTGTGTCCTCTCTGGATCTATCCTTTCTAAAATATTCACAAGCTGGATGGAAAAAAAAAACAACATATTTGTGTGAATATTCTGTATACTGTTTTAAAGACAGATACTGTTTTAAAGACAGAAAGACAGATAGTTAAAGAGAGTATTAACTACAAAATGATCAGAAATAACTGCCCTTAGGGTGTGGCATGGATGCAGTAGATTGTGTAGGTGGTGAAGTAGCATACACATGTGTTGTAATATGAAAGGGTGTAGTAGCATGCATTGGCATAGTAGTATTCATGGGTGTAGTAGCATGCAGAGGTATTGTAGCATGCATAGGGACAGTAGCATGTACAGGTGTACTAACATGATTAGTGTGGTAGTATGTGTATGTGCAGTAGAATTCATGTGTGCAGTAGCATGTATAGGTATAGTAGCATGCATGGGTATTGTAGCATGCATGAGTATATTGTAGTAGCATGCATGAGTATAGTAGCATGCATAAGTATACTGTAGTAGCATGCATGTGTATAGTAGCATGCATGGGTATATTGTAGTAGCATGCATGAGTATAGTAGCATGCATAAGTATACTGTAGTAGCATGCATGTGTATAGTAGCATGCATGGGTATAGTAGCATGCATAAGTATACTTTAGTAGCATGCATGTGCATAGTAGCATGCATGGGTATATTGTAGTAGCATGCATGAGTATAGTAGCATGCATAAGTATATTTATTAGCATGTATGTGTATAGTAGCATGCATGAGTATATTGTAGTAGCATGCATGTGTATAGTAGCATGCATCGGTATACTGTAGTAGCATGCATGAGTATAGTAGCATGCATAAGTATACTGTAGTAGCATGTATGTGTAAAGTAGCAAGCATGGGTATAGTAGCATGTATTGGTATAGTAGTATGCATGGGTATAGTAGCATGCTTGGGTACTTTATCATGCATAGATGCTGTGACATTCATGTGCGCCATATAAAATTTCTGGATAGAAACATAAACTCTTACATCTTGTTGTTTTCCTGTCCTTAAATACACAATGGCTAAGTTGAATGAGATGAATTGCCAAAGCTCCGTACTTGACGTTAGCTACCAAAAAAAAAACCAAACAAAACATGTTACTATACATAAGAAAACATGTATGGTATTGATGTAACATTAATAAATACATATTTCTTACTGAAACATTTAACAATTCATTTATGATTTGTTACTTCTGTTACAATTTGGTAAACTGGGTGATCATTTGGACTTAAATATTAACTTCTAGGACTACTCTATGTCAATGTACATGCATGCTGAAAATGAATCTTATTTTGTAAGTAGAAACTTATGCTGCGAAAAATACATTCATAAATATATAAAAGACGAAGGTATTAATTTGATTTGAATAATTGGAATTGCTCCCCAAAGCAGTAATGGTGCCAGGATCTGCCCGACGCAGGGACTGAAGACTGTAGCCCTATCAACCCTCCAAGCTGGCGCCACCACTGTCCCTAAGATAAGATAAAGCCCTACTTACCCTTAATGCTGTGTTGAACTGTGCTTCTGCCCGCTCCATGCAGTTCATTGACATTGCGTACAGACCTAATAGTGTGTGCAGCTGCGAGCCATGTGTACTGAATAATCGGGGGTTCTGTGTGCACACTTGACACGCTTGTGAAATCTAAACATAGATTGGAAGGTAAATAAGTGAAACAAGAGTAAAAAATCTCCATACAAAATCTACATGCACAAGGCTAAACTTGTATAAATTTATTTATTTATTACACAAAAAATCTGGCTCAAACACATTACTAAACAGCCTTAAGCTGCATTTACACAGAATCCAAAATTTTTGGTTCAGAAAGCCTATCGAACCGATCAGAAAATTGAATAAGCAAAAGGCTAGCCTTGCAATGGGGCGTAGCATGCAACATTAAAACCAGTCTTACCTCCTGGATTGCAGCAGACTTTTGGCCCATTACAAGTCTACACATGATAATGTGTTCCAGCAGCATCAGTTGGAATGCAGCAAGAATAGGATGTGAATCAATGATTTTTAACTTCTCAATCTGCAACAGGGCTTTGTCCGTGTACTTATGTGCTTTGTCCATGTAACCAGACTGCATAGAGTGCATAACGGTAATCTGCAAAAAGAAAGTTTTCAACTGTAAGCACAACCTTCAGATCGGAAATTCAAGCCTTCTGTGTACATTTCGCTTATGCCCTTAGAGCGAGGCAATTACCTTATGTTGTCTCTCTCCACCCAGGAGTATAAGTGGGTACCTAATAGGTTCCAGTGGCGGATCCAGGAATTTAAAACAGAGAGGCCCAAAGAGGGACTTACACAGATGAACAGTCTATACTACCTCACCCCCACCATAGCTGGGAATTTATGATTATGGCACCTCTAGATGGCCGGAAACTGTACTCTTAGACTCAAAATTTGAGTAGCATTTTCTTTTTTTTTTTTCTCATTTTTTTTTTAATTCTGAAAAATTTAGGGGGTCCAGGCTGGTGGAATCTGCTACTGGGTAAAATCACCATGCGCCGATTAAGACTGAAATTATGCTATGTTCCATACTCGTTTATTTCATTGCCCGAGATAATTGAGAGCTTTCGATTGCGATGGTAGGACCAAGGAGTTTTCTGCACATGCTTGAACATTGTTGTCTGGATTCTAGAACGCAGCTAGGTCCGAATCTACTTTGTACTTTGTAGGACAATCACGGATGAGTGAATCAGTTCTAGGGTTACTTCTTCTGGCAAATCAAAAACTTTCTAATAATGTGGTAAGCACATGGAGGTCATGACAATATGTGTTACAAATCCTCCACTCTTATCATTAATTGTTATTCTAATAACTAAGGAAGATTGATTTTATTTTTTTTTCTTTCTTTTTAAATCAAGGTGGCAGCCAAAAAGAAGCAGATTTGTTTGGGAAATGGTAAACAAATTTATTTTTACACAAACGCAAGCTCTTCTTCTCTATAATGCAAATCTGTCATCATGACTAACAAGGTCTGACTCTGTGGCAAAACAGCAGGTTGATACTAAGATGTTCCTAGTACTAAAGTATATTAACAAAACAGTATATACCAATATAATACGAATTAATGTTTGCCAGACTTGACAGGTTACAGTACTTAATGCTTAGTATGTTCCCATATGCTTGCGAGAAAAAAAAAATTATATAGTATATTATGATATATTAATTATATTTATCAATTATCTAATATATTGTTATACTCACTAGATAGACAAGTACACACATATGTTCCTTTGGTAACCAGTGAAAATAGTCAGCAGGATTTGGGGGCAAGGGTTCTGCGAATAAAATGAAAAACAAAGTTAAAAACCTTTAAAACAGAGCTCTGCAACTTTCACAGCTGTCGTTTAGAGAACTAACCATAAATTATTTACGTAGCAGCATGTAGAAAATAATTTGAAGGCTTGTTACAGAGGCATATTTAACTGCCACATTAGGAAGGTCGGGAAGGAAGGGTTGAACCAACATTCACTATGATTTTAGGCTGAGGAGGCCGAATAAACAGTAAGCCGAAACTTCTATGAAAGGTCCTAAATTCTATCACTCAGGTCAGATCAAGTGCTAATAATGTCTTGCACTTGAGAATAGGTTATCACAATGGATATTAAAAACTATGCTACAAAACCCTTTAGCAAAAACGTAATAAGCCAATTCATAGTTAGAAACGTGCAAGCTCGTATTAAAGTCAATCAACATCAATGGCATACACACAACATAGGTTTAAGTTGATTGATCTTGGATACCACGGAATACATGCATGTGCAGTTCAAACCATGAATTGGCTTATTAAATATTAAGTTTGCATTTCAAAAAAATGCCAAAGTAATGACAATGCTCCTAAAATATCAATTTACAAATATTTCAATGTACTGCAGCCTAGTTATCCGGAGTTTTTGCCTCTCAACCCCTATCAGGTACTATTTGTTTGCGAAGTGGTACACAGCTTAATGGCTAGATGTTTGTTTTTGTACTCGGCTGAAAGGTTTGAGAACCGCTAGTATACCACATTTGAAAATATATTACAGTGTAGTTTTTAATATATTTTCAAATGTAACTTCTATTAAAAACATACCATCGTTAAAAACTTACCATCGTCACTATTTAGATTTGTAATCTTTTGAATGGCTTGTTGTAATGATTTAAGAGGTTGCTTAACGCCTCTCACCTAAAGAGAAAAAGACAAGCCTTTTATTAGAACTTTGTAGCAAATGATTAATAGTGTTTAGTGGAAGAGATTGGCACAGCAGGTGAGGTGATCTTGCGAACCTATTCCATTTCTGTTCTTGGGCAAAATACGAAATTACCCCCTCCATTGTAACAGCTCTTGCGGGCAATAGGTTAAATTAACGGTACACCCCTGAAATACTTAGTGATTGGTCCATTAGTCTGATTGGCTGATGGTGTATCTATATAAATGCTAGTCTGGAAATAAATCCTTCCCTTCTCTCTTGGATGTCAGCGCTACTGCTGCTCCCAAGGTGAGCCGGGCCACAAGAAAAGGTGAGAGATGGAAGGTATGCTGTACATGTACAGGAGACTAGATAGGAGTTACTGCACTTGATATCTGGATTCTTTAGGAACGACGACGTTTCCCAGAAATAGATTGGCCTACTTCTAGACCATCTTAGAGATTAATTCATACTGTGAGTATAATCATTAATAAATGAGTCTCTGGATAGAGAATTTAGTGATTTCTTGTTCTTGGGCATACATCATTTTTTTGTTAAAGAAAATTAGTAGTGCAGATAGAGCTTAACCTGTCTCCACTCATAGATACAACACTGAATATAAAGCATATATACATTAAAATTATTCCCTGACACTGACACATAGGGCGGATTGCTATAAGCGGTCTTTAGACAGTTTTAACACTTAGCCGGCTATAATCGTGACGTCAATACTGGTCTACGATTACAGACCATTGCTATACAGCGGTCTAACCAGTTAGCCGTCTTAAATTTTAAAGCCTGCTCGGAGGAGGCTCAAAATGGTCTTAAATCATTTTCATTATGGTGTTACAGGTATTAGACGTAGATCGTCAAAGACCAAGAATCGAATGGCAAATATTCCGCAAACTTCAAACTAACTGTTTTATAGCAAATGGTCTTGGCTGAGTGACTTTAGTATGACCGTCTAAGTGATAAAGCCGTCTAAGTGATAAAGCCGGCCTTATTTGAGGAGTTAAGACTACCAGTTAAGACCGTTTTATAGCAATCCGCCTACGTGCATTTATTCCTAAAATTCTCAAAACAGGCAAGCAGATTTTTTGGGATGAAATTGATAAGAATATTTGAGCAAGTAGGCTTAAGCCCTGTCCAGAATATCAAATTATATTTGACATGCCTAAACATGGCCGTGATCACATCACATCATAGCCAAATATAGGCATATCATGACCATATATGGGCTTACACCTGTTTTTTTTCAAAGAAAATTTGATAATAAATCTGGACAGAGCTTAAATCATTTTAATTATCACTCACCTGTCCAGCAACAAGGTAATGCGAGACTTGTAACACAAGAAAAAACACAGTCAAGGATTCCTTGAGTGTAGGGTTAATCTGGCTATGTTCAATCAATGTCCCACACTTTGACAACACTGTATGCACCTCGCTCAACTTATGTTCGATTAATAGCAGCTAAAAGTAAACAAAAATTCATTATGAGATTGTCGGTGAAGAAAATTAACTGGAAATTGAAAATTTCAATTTTTAAATCTTAGGTCAAGCTAGCTTCAACAATCTAAAAATAATCCTTATTTTTAATCTCCATGTTTTCCATCTTTCCCATATTTTTCTTGTTTTCATGATTGATTCTTCTTTCCAGTTGATCAATGCATGTTAAGTGTTGGCATTTTGTTAGGTAGTGGCTACACTATTACACAAAACCTAGACAAATCCATTCGTTTATAATTGTGTAGTAATCTAGGAATTACTTATTTTTTTAAGTTGGGGTTGGAGTGAGGCTTCATTAAACCATCCCCTTATGAAGGTAAGGTAAAGTTAGGAAACTCTCTTTCATGGATTAATCTTGCATGCATTTTTATGTATATTTTCTTTTATATACCGACTACACAGATTCCAGGCATTCGATTGGTTAGAAGCCGGGCAATAGTTTTATCCATGCCCGAATAGCAGAGAATAGTCTTTTTCTTTTGCCCTCTTGCAATTCGCGATGTAGAATATTATGCTAAGCCTATTATTGAGGGCGCGCTTCTACTAATTTAATCTAATTTGATGACCTGGAAGCAGCTGACGATTGCTCTGCTGCACACTGTACTGGTAGGCCAGGAATAACAATGGGAGAGTGTTCCAGATTTAAACTGGTTGACGAACATGAGAAGTGTAGTGCGTGAGTTCAGCAGCCAGTGATACTATGAAAAAAGTATGTTTGCCGTCCGAATATTTGAAGAGTATCTTGAAGCCACAAACTGTGATTTACGGAGTTATCAAATGCAGGCTTTGATGAATTGTTCTACTAATAAATGAAAAGTTCTACTACTAGGCCTGGACCTAGCTTAGGCTTCTTCACAACTCAAGAACAGGGAATCTATGTAGTGGTATATAAAACAAATATTTACTGGGATTTTAATCGGGTCATAGTTATAGTTATAGCACTTGGTGATCTGGAGGCTGTACTATGTTCCTTGACTTCGTCTCGGAATATAGTACAGCCTCTAGAACACCTCGAGCTATAATTTGAACCATAACCCTCAACCCAGTAAATATTTGAATATTAGTCTTAATATACACTTGTATTACATGTTATTAAAGCTGAATTTTATCATTATTTCTTTACCATTCCTTTACTAAGAAGAAAGAGTGTCTGGGTATATTCTGAGCCGGCAACTGCTGCATAGTCCGCACCAACGCCAAGTAATTCACATGCTGACAAAAAGTCTTTCTCATGCGTATGAATTTGCTGGATGAAAATGATGCAAAATATTAATAAATAGAAATATTGATAATGATAATAACAAAATATTAACATAAAATTAAGTATTCTTAAATTTATATAATCCTGTACTATGACTTTCCCATGGCATTCTGGGAAGGATAATATGGGATGAGGTAAATGGCAAAGTACATATGTACATAAGTAATTATTATTTGTATTTTAGGAAAAAAATTTAATTATTTGCAATCTCTTTACTTGTGTATTATATTTTTAACTTTGCACTGTTTTTATTCTGAATGCATTGCTGCCATTGTTCTTGTGTTTTTATTGATTAGTTACTGCTTTGTTAAACTTCAATTTTCTTTTCAAAATTGCAATAAAAAATAAAGAATAGAATTTCAAAATAATTTCACAATTAGTAAAATTGTAAACCATTGGAACATCCAATAATGCTATCACCCGCTGTTCATTTCTATAATAATTAACTTGCTTTAGTGCCCTCAAATGAAGATGGGGAAAAATGCATCAATTATATGCAATTGAACTAATGGGAATTGTTGTAGCAAAGGTTTATGTTTAATCAAATTTAGTGAAATTTGTATTGAATAAACAAAATCTTAGTATAAACTACACAACATAGATGCATTGTATACCCTTATTCAGACTAGACTTCGCATTGCAACCGGTTGCGATGTAATTGGTGGTAAACAGTTGTAATCCAAATTGTTCGCAACCATTCGCAAACTTCGACAGCATTCAGACACCTTTTTACTTTGACACTTTACATTACTAGCAACGATATAGGTCGTCCTGTTTTGTTTGACAACAGCCAATCAGTGCCTGTGGAATCCGTTGCGATCGGATTCCGTGGTAATCGGGGGTAATAAAGAATGTAGCACCCAATCGCAACGGGTAACAATTGCGAAATCGATTACTTATCGACTTCTATTGGTGAGCTTTTAGACACGATTTTACTTTGCGATTGGGTGCGATTAGGTGTCGCAATTGCTACAACCGATCACAATGCGAAGCTAGTCTGAATGGGGTATAAGATGGGATTCGGATTAGATATTCAGTGTAAGTTATGGCATCAGTTTATCTGTGTATACTCACTGCCAACTGGAATAGCAAACGACAGTGCCAGTAGGCTACTTGCTGAGAACTGCTGATAGCCTTCCGAAGAATCTGCTTCGCAAATTGAAATTGTTTCTATAAAAAACAAAATTAAAAAGTTAATCATATGAATTAATAGACTCTAGATACCGTGCCAGGTACGAGTAATGCCAGCCCAGAAATCTCATTTGGACAGCCCACTTTAAGCTCTACAATGAACTAGTTTAAATTCATCAGTAATTTACCGATTATGAAACCAAAAAATAAAGTGAGCCATCAATTATATAGATCTTCATATATAGATTGATGTCGTTATTTTTAAAATCTATGGATGCTGTTTTTACATTGCACAGCTTTTATTCCTATTTAAGAACTTTTATCTCTAAAACCCATTTTGCAATTGGCCAAGACAATGTTACTACAGTATGCGTTGTAATATATGCGTTGTAATATAGGGAGCATTGTCCAGCAACAACAAAAAATCCATGTGCCTACATGCTGATAGAGGGCAGTATAGTAATTTCATTAAATCTCAGGTCTTTGTGTAGTCATTCTAAAAGTAAACACTGTTTTCCTGGTGTGGCTAGAGGTAATGAGATGCAGTGAATAAAAGATGAACTTAAACATATTTTTAATAATCATATTGTTAAAATATATTTCTATGTAATTTATATTTATTAATATAAATTTCTATAACAACAATATAAATATTCTACCTGTTGTTGATGTATTTCTGCAAGCAAGCTTGCTGATTCAAATTTAACTTCTTCAAATGCTGGTATCTGGAATATTGCTTGTGTTAAGAAAATACACATTTTAAAGGCTCTTCTATTCTATAATTGTGTTTATATATTAAAATAATCATTATTTTTCTGTACAACAAAACGTATTTTGGCTATTCCACCATATTCATTTAAATACACACAAATAATTATTATCTTCTTAAAAAATAAACTAATTACAATTAAGAGGGCATTGCCATAAAAGCAAATGCTTCTCTGCAGCAAGCCCAAATAATAATAATAATAATAATAATAATAATAATAATAATAATAATAATAATAATAATAAATTAAATTTTATCAATGCAACTTGGTGATGAAAATGGTAAAATAAATGGTGTACTACTACTTAGTACAAATCTTTAATAAAATCTACAAAAGCTAGGTAAGTGTAGCTTGTGTAAATTATAAAATATGCCATAGGCAACCACAGATAACTAGGGACTACCTGCACAGTACAATAATCAACTATACCTCATAAAATTGTGGCAATCAACATAATGAATATCAATCAGATGTACAGTATGTAAATTAGAATAAAACATTATCCTCAACAATAATAGATATTACATTTCCTTAATATTCTTTAGTGATAGTGCATGGACTCTTAAATTGGTTGGTAATCAACTTATAGGTTTTTGTAGTAAAAGGTGCAGCGCCTTGAGACGGTCTTCTATGTGGAAGGGAAGGTGATATAAATATATGACCATTTACCATTGACCATATCAGATAAAACTCATTTGAAGTTAATGATTGAGTTTAATATTTCGGGTTTTCATATCTTACGACAGATAGTATATTTTTAATTCAAAATGTAACATAAATATTTGACATTGCAAAACTACTATAAAATTCATGATACGGTGAATTTCATTGTTAGGCCTAGCCTTATACCTACTACTCTATATTTATTTACTAGTCTACGGTAGGTTACTGACATATATAACTGGATGAAAGGTCATGTAAAGGTCACTGAACTCAACATTTGGTTTAGTAGCACAATTCGTTCTTACAATATTGGACAATTCTAAATTTCAATGCTCAGTTTCATGAATAGCACTCAGAGGAGAGTTCGGCGGGTTAAAAGTTATGTCATCTTATCCGTTACTCATTCATTTACGACATTCATTGACCCAGCAAACATTAAACGTTGTTACAACATTTGTGAACGTTGTGGTTTGGTATGTCACAAAATAACGTTCACACAACGTCGTAGGAACATTCAATCATTATGTTGTGAAATTAGGTTATAAGTACGTACATATGGTTCTACAAAAAAACGTTTTTAACCACAAACTGTAATGTCTGTATAACGTTCTTACATTGAACGTAACATTGTTACCCCTTCATGATGAGGATATTGCCAATCCATAATATTGTGGTCTAATAGCAGAATTTTTGTCCGTCCTTTAAACCATAAAACAACTAGAGCCACCATGGAGTTGAAAGTGTAGGGCTATTATATTAGGCCTAGTATCAATTGACGTAAAGTAAATCTATAATAAATTCATTGCTAGATTATGTGACCGTAAATTTATCTACAACCCTTATTGTAAAAACAGAAATCAAGCCTTGCGTATGAGGTTATGCTTTTATTTTACACCATGCAATTGGACGACGAGTTACAGACCGAACTTAGTTCTACACGTCTGTAAACAGACACTTACGATCCTTGAACATATAAAAAAAAATCAATGTCAACTAAATTACAAAACTTGACATGATAAAGTAAAAAATAATAATAAATTCCATTAATTATCTTAACAAAAGCTAAGGTAATGTGCGAGTACAAAATAATATATAATTTGTATACTCTAAAAAGCTCATTTATTGTGTCGATGTGGTAATGTTGTGTTGTGTACAAAATATAAATAGAAAAATATACACACGCCACACACAGACAGTATGATTCAGGGTTAGAGGTCAAGTTGAATAAAAAGGATACCGTTTGACTTTGAGCTATCATCCACTGCAAGAAGAAAATAAAAGCTTATAATTCATATATTAAAATTAGGGCCTATCTACTAATGATTCGCATATAGTGAACATTTAAATTTATGTGCGCTAAAGCTAAAAAAAGAAAACTTACTGCTCGTTCCAAATGTGTGCGGGCCAAGTCGATGTTTTTGGTGTGAGCGAACAATAAACTTCCGAGTTGCAGACGCGTCCTGGCTTCAATTGCGAGAGGGGGTTTAAATTGAAATATAGACTGTAAACAATGAATACAATGTTTGATTTTTGGTGGGCTAGCAGTCCTAAATGACTCCGCTATACCGAGTAGTGATAGGTACCAAGATTCATTTTGAACCACTGGTACGGACGCCATCTTGGGCAAATTCTTCCCGCTGGCTTGTTGTCCTTGTTCCTGAAATGAAAAAGATATTGAACAGCGCCCCCTTGCCTAAAATTGGTTTCCTCTTATGACAATAATGATATGAAGATGAGTAATTATTTTATGTAAGTATTGTAATACATACCAAACACAATTTGTTTTTGCATTATTGACCTGCAATCGCTTACATTATTATTGGTAAATATGTAGGCCTGTAGTAACAAAGACAAGACAATTATTAATTTCTATTTCGATTTATTTTATTGCTACGACGAATCCCACTACGAATGCTACTGCCAATATGTCCATAGGAACATTTCAAAATTTTACATTTTGCAGCAAAATAGAAAGTGAAACATGAAGTTCAATCATACAATAATAATTATGCATTCACTGCCAAGGACATCACTCCATTAAGTTCCTAATTACCCACATACTCCCAACCTTAATATAATCGAACACTTATTCATCATGGGTAAGAAAAGTACTCCACTAATAAGGTTCCAGTGACCTGTGGCTATACCCCAGCCCTAAACAAACTACATGGAGTAGAAAACTTACTCCAACGACCATGTTTCCAAGTTACAGTATGTTGTACTGCAACAAAAAAAAATAATAGAAAATGAACCATGAAGCTTAAACATATACAGCAACTATGCATTGAAGGATATAGAAACCTAAATAAAACTATATAATATCATACGCTCCTATTCGAGTACTGTTACGGTATTCTGTCTCTTATACACATCTATGCATATACCGTTACGCAGTACTATATTCTATATGTTTCGAAACACATCTTCTTTATGTAATATGTATCGTTATTTATATTTCATTTTATAAATCTCGTTTATTTCTATATCCTTGTAATTTTGTATCTTGTGTGTTCACAGAATCAATACATCGCGTTATGATATTGACAACAAAGGAATCTGAATAAAAATCTTTAAAATAAAGATTCAGAAAATATCGTATGTGCAGGCCTAAATCACACTCTGGATTGAGGAATACACATTGCTTATAGCATGTATTTTTTGGTGTTGTTCAAAAGTTGTAAAAGTTTTTTTTCTTTTTATGATTTGTTGTAGATTTGATTATCATAATAATCTCTCAATGGTAGATTAAATATCGATTGGTGCGTATCTCGGTTCTGTGAATAGGCCTAGTCTCTTTTATAGACCTAGGCCCTAATGGTTGTTGGATTCGAGTGTCAACAATTATTAAATTGTTTTCTTCAATGTCATGCTGTAGGTATGTAAATCCTTGTTTTCGCTTTGTCTACATACAGTCTTTTCATGTGGCACTTAGTCTGATATTGCTTTGGGTTGATAGGTGTGTTGTAGGTTGATAAGTGTTTCTGGCCCGTCCACCCATATTATGTTCAATGAATAGGCTATTTTTGAAAATTAAGAAAAATGTATAGGCCTATGTGATTAAAAGAACGAACTTTATATCCTCGAAAGTTTTACTCTTCAAAGATAAGCATTAAAAAATATTTTCCATGGTTAATTAAAAGAGCAAATTTGCTTTTGTGTATAACAATTCTGATTTATTTGCAAAAATAAATATCTTATCACAGTGGAAAGCCATACAACAGGCCTTTCTGACTCGTAACAATCGAACATATGCCCTACCTGTTGTCCCATAAACGCACGTGTTGACGTATTGTCGTTTCCCAGGGACAGGGCTGGGTGCGAAAAGATTATTATTTACATTTAATGCTTTAGGCTATGTTCACACACGGCAGCTAGCGGTTAGCTCCCGAATACTAGGGCTCTCGTGTGAACCTGACTTTAGTGCAATATTAATGTTACTATCATTATTGATATTAATATATTATTATTTTGTTTTTATTGTAATATATTATTATTATTATTATTATCATTATTATTATTACTACTGTTATTATTTATTATTATTACGGTATCATATTATTAGGGCTTATATACGCATGCGATGGCAATAGCAATGGAAATAAGAATAAATAACAAACGATAATGTAAATGATGAAAATGACAGTAATGATAACAATAAACAAAAACAATAGATTTTCTAATCCCTCCTACATAAAAAACAGATAAATTTTTTTGAAGATATAAATAATGATTATTAAGGCCTATAATAAAATATTTTATGTGTAAAAGTATAATATTAATAATATTGATCGCATGGTGCCGCCTCATAAGTTGTGACTCTGATAGAAATTTCATTCATTTTATTTATCTGTTTTAAGCGGACAATCACTATATGCTCTTGTGCTGTCAAAGATATTCGTGTTTAAATATATATGGGGGTTACAATAGAACGTGGTTTAAGTCCGACATGATCCGACTATGACATTAGGAAGGAATGAATTGGAGCCAAAATGCATCAAGATTCAATATAGATAATTAACCATCACTGCAAGTTTACAATGAATACAATATCATGTTCATTACAGGTCTAATATAGGCCATACTCACCATGTTTTACTACCAACATATGAATATCGGACGATGGGGGCTCTAATTAAATCAGATTCGAATACTTCCTTTAAAACATGCAAAAACAAATTTTGTCATATAGGCCCCTGTATTATACCAGCATTCGATCAAATGATATATAAACACAACTGTTGTAATTTACTAATATTACGTTTATTCTTTTTTTCTACAAGTAGCCTATAAAACATTAATATTATGTTATACCTATATAAATTTTGATTAATAACTTGAATTAATTTTTTGCCACATTTTTGATAACTTAACGATTTACAGTTGCACTGTTACCGGTCTTTCTTGTGAAACTGTATACCGTATGTATTAAATCACGGTTAAGAAATCAGCAACTATTCAATTGACGTAGGTTTTATTATGAGAAGCCTGATCGAGAACGTAGCTGAAAGATAGTGCGTCTCTATGGCCCGAGGAGGTTGCACTTCCTCGAAGGTGAAAAATAAAGGAATGCTTAAACCAGCTAAAGGCTTTCAATGATGAAAATCCCTTAAATATTTTGTAATGAATTGAGAAATAAATATAGGCCTCTGGCCTAAATCATTAGTTGGTACTGAGTGTTAGAACAAGCAGCATGAAAATGTTAATAATATGAAAGGATCGTCACTTTCAGCGTTAGCATACAATAATCCAACTAAACTATTATTGTTTTACAATTGTGTTTCGCATGCCACGCACGCAGGAATATCAAATTTACAGTATTAACCACAGCCGCCGGGCTCTGACACGTCATTACAGATCCAAGATAATTTTGACACGTTCAATCGATCTCTTCATAAACTTCATCCAGCGACCCCAACACCTTTCCCCCACAAACAAATACAATATAGGCCTAATTGTTATTCGACATATGCCTATACTTTTACAGGCGATACCAGGGAACAATGCAAAATACGTTGTGACTTTTTTTTATAAATTCCGGAAGTTATGACGTCATCGACTTCCAGGCTCACTTCCAACTGGGTGGATTAGTTGAACTTGTGTGGTTCTATCTCTCTCCGGTGTTTGTTTCTCATCTCGCTTCGAGCAGAGAGAGTTGTTATCTTGGAGTTAAGGGTGGTTTGATGGGGAAATGTACCTTTTGGTGACGAGGTGTTTGGTGGGCTGGAGGGTAATCAGTATAGAATTTTAAATTTCTAAACACATCCGGGCTCTGACACGTCATTTGATTCATAGGTTTGCTGTGTCACTGATAACGATATCGATCAGCTTCGTCGTTTTAGACTAACCGGGGGATCATTGGTAACTGCCACGATTTAGCATCAGACATTGATAAGAATTAATCGATATACTAGGCCTAATAATGTTATTAAAGGTTATCAATTAGCTTAACTTGAGGAGACCTGTCTATAATAATAATAATAATAATAATAATAATAATAATAATAATAATAATAATATTAATAATAATAATAATAATGATAATAATAATAATAATAATAATAGTATTAATAATAATAATAATAATAAAAGTAATAATAATAATAGTAATAATAATAATAATAATAATAATAATAATAAATTTAGAAATGTGATAATGAATGATGATTATGACTGGTAATGATAATGTACGAGTAATTATCATGATGATAATAATGATAATAAAAATAATAACAGTGATAATGAAAATGTAAATATTAATAGGAATATAAGTAGGCTAGTAGTAGAGGTAGTAGGAGGAGGATAAGAAATATTTGAGTTGATAGCTATCAACATGGCTCTTCAGGATTCGTAATATTGTAGTAACTGAATGTCCCCTGCTATCTGACGTGACATTTATATTACTCCGCATATCCGTGTGACCTAAAATGATCTTCGATAAAACATTAATAAAGCATTATGAGGCCAATAATAATTTAACTTCATTATAAAACGTTGGGGCTGGCAGAAGTATGAATATCCTACACTCCGAATATTTTATGACAAGACTTTATGAGCCTGGCGCACGAGCGAACCAACTAAATTTGGTTTAGAAAAACTTGAAGATTTGAATACACATTTTTTAAAATAAATATCGACATTTTAAAATTTGAATGTTCAGTAGCAATTAGGGCCACTACATTATTGCGGTGTATGCAATCGCAGGCTTGTCGCGATGGATTGATATCATTTTATACTAAGCACTTGAAACTATCAGGGATCAGTCTGAATGGCAATCGAGCACACTCTTGGAAGCGTCCATTTTTTGAAGAGGGAAGAATATGAAAGGTGGTAGTGAAGTCGTACACATGAATACCGTACGAAATTACTATACAACAAAATACACTACATGGAAAATATAATATATAAAATTAGCTTTATGCGCGTACAGAACACACGTGTAAGACCAAGCCTAGGACAAATCATATCGTATGGTGAATAATAACATGAATAAAATTACAGAAAAATATATATAGCGGTAATGATGATCATAACGAAAGCGAATATCGCGACGACGATGGTGATGATGGTAACAATGGCGATAATTAATAATGATAGTGATTTTGACAATTTGTATGATTTTGACATTTTTATTTATTTTATTATTATTTTCATCATATTATCACCGTTTTAGTAGATTCAATTTTTAATCAATATATCATAAATAATTAGTTCAAGCACACCCTTTATTTTAGGTTTGTTTCATTCTGATTTGATCTTATACCGGTAGATGTTTTAAGCTATATTATCTTCTTTTTTTTTCAATTCACTCGTTTTATTTTGTATCGTCCATTTTGTGTGCTGTAACTGATGGATTTGTTTCTGTTGTTGTTTTGGTTGATAAATATTTAATAAATGAATTATGAATTGTTTGATTTATTGGTTTGTATTATATTTTGTATATTGTGTCTTTTGCTTTCATAATAGTAATAGTAATAATATCATTATTACTATCGTACTAATTATTATTATATATCACTGTATTATCATTGCTGTGTTTTATAATACTAATTATTATTATTTTTGTCATTATTATCTCATTATTTTTTTTCATAGATATATACAAATAACATGAAAAAAGGCTTGTGTAAATCAGCATAAATTTTTGTTTCGAATATATTAATTAATTTATCGTATGCCTACTAATAATATTGCACCGGTAACGTAATAACTAAATAGGCCTATTATTGAACGTACATATCGGGAAATAAAATTTTACTTATGACATGACTATAAGTTGTAGCCGTTAAGGCGTTTCGGCCAGATGGAAACGTAGTACGGTTAACCGTCGCACTTTTAACACTCTACCGCATGTAATAAAACTGTCACACTTTGTAATATAGTTTGTCGCAAAATTTATAGTAAACTGTTAATTACACCGTTGTGGAGTAGCCTAATTATTAATATACACGTTTGCAATAAACTTGCACTTTGTAGTCTGTCGCAAGTTTATAATAAAAATGGTTGGACATTAGAATATTTATTAATACAGTACGTCTGTTTTAATGAACGTATTATTAAACTGTTTCACTTTGTAACAGTCAGTCGAAAATTTATAATAAAACTTGTTGCACAGTGGAGTAGGCCTAATTATTAATGTCCAGGTCGTTTGCCAATTCTCCTAGGCCTATTTTGGATGGATTTACCTCACAAACCTTGTGGTTGAGCGTTGTGGTCGAGAGGTGTCCTATTTTTGTGCTGAGACCACGAGTGGCGCTGCAGGCTGCCGCGGGTCCCAGTGGCGCAGCCCAAGTTTACAATTTCCAATAAACAGTTAGGCCTATTATTGTTATTTTCGGCCGTTATTATTATTATTAATAATTGGTTTTTCTAGGGAGTTTGATTCTTTATGCTATAGTTGGCCTATACTAATTATGTTTTGTAAGAAAGATAACGTTGGTATGGGCAATAGTGACGGCGCCATCGGGGCAGGGGAACAGCGGGGGCTTAAGCCCCCCCCCCCCCACCGGACAGGTCAAGCCTCAACCATTAGACAGAGCTCGTCGGGCAGTCGGACTAAAAAAATATAGAAATAGGCCCACGCCAAGCCAACACGTCTGTCACAATCTGTGAGTGTCATTTCTGGCCATCCAGAGGTTCCTGTTCTTAAAATAATCTCATTTGGGAGGGGGAACCCTCTCTTAAACCCTTCCCCCAGCTAGGGTCTACGACTTCAAGTTCCCCCCTGTCGGACAGCTCAGCCCTCCCCCTACCCCCAGAAAATATATCCTAGAGTAGCCACTGATGGGCAAAGGGAACTCAAGTGGATTGATAATACGTACAAGCTAAAGGCTACTTTTGGAATTAGGCCTATCTATTTTTTTTTCTTTTTTTTTTCGCGAAAACGTGTGCGAAAATTATCTTTAAAAGCCTAGAAATATTTAATTCAAGGTCAAATAAGAGAGCAGCTTAGCTCAGTCGGCTAATCTGGTGGTAGCC